CGTTAAGTGCTGGAAAAAAGGATTCAGTGCAGAAATATTGCAGCTGTTTTAACAGGACTGTTAAAATAGCTGTAAAATAAAAGGTTAAAGTCAAAACAAGCTAACTTGTTCTACAAAGTCACCAAAATGGTAACACTTGTCTGGATCATGTTATCTGCAGTGATTTGTGGAAGCAATTCATCTCAAATTTACCTGAATAGAGAGGAAGACATTTCTAAGGAGCTGGCAGTGTTTTCTGGTATGTTAAATTTGATCAAAACATGAGGATTTGTAGCTTGAAAAGGTACAATTTCTTCTAAAGACCTAGAAATATTTCTAAAATAATTGAATTATTTTCTGTACCCATACCTACTATGTAAACCCTTTCTTTCATGTTAGCACTTTAATGCTGAATTCTGTTTAGATGTTAACCAAGAAAACAGGCTTTTTTCATTGTCTATTGGTCGTGGAACCATTTTAAAAAAATAATCCCACACCTCACATTTGTGAACAGTGCATTACTGCAAGGGGCCAAAATAAATGATCTGTTACTAGACAGGAGTAGTGTATTTTTGAGCTAGCATCTTAGTTTTGCTTTTATAAACATTATGAATCATCTGTCTTCATGCAAATAGTTTTGTCAATGAGAGATAATCAGGGCTAACTTGAACAAACTTTATTTACACTTGGCAGGATGGTGAGCAGAGTATTCAGTGTCTGAACCATCATATTTTATTCTTTTTCCAATGGGGAAAAAAAGCCAAAACCTACAAAGCTCTGTAGTGAAGAAGCTTAAAACACTTAGGAAGGAGATAGTTTTACTGGTTTAAAGCTTGAGGAATAAGGTCAGGTTTTCTTAATGCTGGAAAAAATGCCAGTAGTTAGTTTGATACAAAGTGATGTTCCTTTTTTCACTCCAAGAAGAAGGGCTTCAGTCTGGAATTTTAAAAACAGTAATACTTTTGGTAAAAGTAGTATCTTTTTGTTTTGTTTTTAGCTGAAGGCTTCTCAAAACTGGGAAGTCATGTAAATGCTGTATCGGTTCAGCACTGAGACTGCTGAGGATCTTGTACGACTGTTTGTCTAGATCTTCAAGTGAAACAGGGATTTGGATTTTTTTTCTCCCCCATTTATAGATTGTAGAAGCGTGAAGACTAAACCAACGATCAAAAAATACCCTTTATTCACCATAATCTAAAGTATAATTTCTCTGTGGTTGTCTAGTTGTCATCTGTTTTCAGGTTTGGGTTTATTATGTTGTCCTTATTCTCCTTGCACTTGGTACATTTTTAAGCTCTTAGAAGATTAATGAGACGTCCAACTTGATGAGGAAATGGTAGATCTGAGAAAAACAAATGGCTGTTTACCAAGTCATAGTTTAGCACTTCAGATTTAGTGACTTGTTGAATTTTTGTAAATGGTAATATGAAAACTGCTCAAGTTCTAGAGGTGACTGAGAAAGACTGTCGTGCGTAGTACTAGTTAGTTATTGCAACCTTTCATTGCTTAAATTCCAATTACAGGTTTTTCTTTCCTTTTTCATGTTTTAAGTGAGCATCTTGATCCTATGACTTTCAAAGTCAGGATTTTGGACATACAGGACTCTAGACAGAAAGGCTTAAATGGTAAATGATTCAAATATAACTCGAGCTACAGAAAAGGATACCAGAAATCCCTGTGAGCAACGGTGGGAGGAGGATTTGTTTACCTTACACTTGTAATGCTCTGCACTTCTCTTTTGTTGGCCAAGAACGTGCTACACTGATGGTTTCCAGATCATATTGCAGCCCCCTTGGAATATAATGGGGCATGCTTTAAGTGTTACAGCTGGGGTGTTATCTGAGGTGGCACTGCAGCAGTCAAACATAATCCTTATGCAACATGAGTATGGATTGCCTGTGTTGGCACAGGTGGTTCTGCCCTAGCTGGCTGGTGCTATGATGGGAATTCTTGAACTTTGACAAGACAAATACAATGTTATTTTTGTTACTGACATGACATGTTTAATCACACAACATTCTCAGTTGGAAGGGACCCTCAAGGACGATCAGGTCCAATTCTTATGACCTGTACAGGGATCTGGAATTAAGCATACATTGCAAAGTGTACAAAATTAAATATAATGGCTATCACTGTTTGCTGCTGGTATATTTCAAACCTTAAATTAAACTGTGCCTACTAAAGGTCTCTTTTTGGAGGAAAACTGGAAAATTAGGGCTTTGTAACTATTTTTGCTAGAAGACTCTTGCTTGCATGTGTCTCAGGGTCTTCAGTTTTCCTTGGAAATAATTTTTGATATCCAAAGTCCAGAGGTCATGTAAAGCATTTTTTTTTATTTCACTTCCAGTATTTATTGGTTTGGAAACACGTTAAATCCATACTTGTAAAACTTTCTATGGGGCCACGAGCTTTTATATTTAGATTTCTGGCTGTTGCACTTATATTTGTGGGTTTGTTTGTTTTTGTAAGCATTTAGCTTCCAGTTTAACTTAATGAAATAAACTTATGTAAATATTAAGAAATTGGCTTTGGGGTAATGGAAAAAAAAAGGTTGACTCTGACAAAGCATTTATATAGAAAATAAAAATTTCAACAGACTGTGGTGGCAAACCTTACAGTCATTTATATGCATATAAACCATTAACAGATCTGCTGCAGAATATGGTAACGGTGGCTGCATCCTCACTGTCTGGTTTCTTTGGGGATTCATACCTAACATTCCACTATGTGAACTAAGCAAATATTTGTTTAACAAATAACATTGACTGCTTATTTATTTTTTACTGTTAAGGCATGCAGCTTATAAAAGATGCAGAAGCTGACAACTATATACATTGAACTCTGAATTCTACAGCTATTGCCTAGGAAATGTTCCATGTGAAAACATTTCTTGATTTTCCCAGATCTGTGATGTATATAGTTGTACAGTCCTTCCTTAACATACTTTTTAAAGTTGTGTTCTACTTTTCATTAATCGATACTTGATATTAGTTCTTAGAGCTTTCTATGGCAAAAATAAAAAACTTAAATTCTAAAGATGAGTGGTAGCATGTTTCTTTGTAACTGCAACTCAAGTTCTACAGTCTTAACGTGTTTGATTACCAACAGCTTGTAGCTTCCTTTTCCAGGTCTTTGGGGGGGGGGGGGGGGACACACAGAGTTTTTTGGGCCTGAGGTTTGTTTGTTTGTTTGTTTTTGTTGAACCCTTTCCAAGAAAGCAAATTCACTGAACAGCTCCAGTGTGCTGTGAGAATGCTGTGACAGCCACAAACTCTCAGAACAGGCAGAGCTGCCATGGAACAGTCTGACCAACTGCTGCTGTAATTGCAAACAAGCTCAAAATGAAGACAAACATCCCTAGTGACCAGTAAAACATCCCTAGGGACCAGTGCAATGCATTTCAGCTCACTCATGGTTTGGGCTCCTCTTCTTCCTGGCTGCTGACTGTTATGATTCATAAGGGTTTGACTGTAGGTTACAATTACATGGAGGTAATCAGTTACTCTGTGTAGACTTATTATCACTGGTCAGGACTGCAGTTTAATAAGTAACATGTGAAATGATGTTTTAGATGCTTTTATCTCCCTGGCTTAGGGCTTCTACCTAGCTCTGCTAACATCAAGGAGCAGCTGACTTCATCAGGACAGAATTAGGCCCATAGTAAGTAAAGGAGACACTGAGACTCCACTGTCTACATTATTCATCTGTGTGTTAAAGCAAAAAATCAGCAGTAATGCTTTTATAGTGCTGGAGGTCAGGGCACCATGTTATGTGGGTAGAACTGCAGAATTACAAAGTGTAGGTACATCTGGGGCTTTCAAAAACAGAATTTAAAAAAAGGTGTCTTTGTTTAATCCTGGTATAAAAACACATTTCCAGTATAACAAGTAGAGGTGGGGGTTTTTCTGTTCGTTGGGTTTTTCTTTTTTTTTTCTTTTTTTTTTCACAGTGCAATTGTACTGGAATTTCTCAACTAACATTAAAGATGTTTGCAAGACAGGAAAGTTGTTAAAATGTAAAATGCAATTTATAAATGTTTACAAAAGTCACACAATTTTATTTAACTTTGGTAACGTAATAAAAGGGTACATATGAGCCACAATCTTGACATTCTCATAAGAAATGATGAATACAGTGCAGAATGTTGCAGTACATTAAACGCTTAGTTTTGCGCAAGCAGAAGGACACAGGTAATTCAACAGAAAATCCCACCAGTAATTTTTTTAAATGTGAAAATGGCCTTGTCCTTTTATAGTGAATTTAAAGCAGCAATGTAACTTTTGCTTAAGCATTCCTTAGAAAAAATGAGAATTTGGATATTTCCTAAGTTTAATGTTTTTCAACTCAAAATCAATAATTTCCCAGTTGTTCCTCTGCCAGTAAGTTATGTTCCCCTCAGGAGTTTCAGTCCTGTCCTGTGGTGTCCCCTAGTCCTTCTAGCCCTATTTAGTTGACAGGCACAAATGGTAGAGTGTTTGTCAGAAGTAGGACAGGACTGTTAGTTGTTATCTCAAAGATACAGGAATAAAATGTTTTTTGATACTAAACTGATGTGCCCTTCTAATTCTAGTTTTGTGGGGAGTTTTATCAAGAGAAGTACTGTCTGTTTTGAAATTGCCCATGATCTCTTTATCAAGATTTAATTCAGTAAAATGTAATATAAAAGGGAGGATGCCCTAGTATATAAATTTATTTTCAGTATGCAAATTTATAGGAGCTGCACTTCAACAAACAAAATATGACCAGGATATGTTTTGCATACACTACTGCTTTAAATCCCATAAGTTGTATTCCTTTCTCCAGCTGTTTAGTTCCCCTTCTTACTGGAGAAAAGTTACACTGCTTCTGGATAAACAATATTATCCTTTAATATACTAACATACTGATTAGTATTTGACAGTGGAAATGATAAGGTTAACACAGAGTCTAGCCTAAAGGCTTTGCAAATGCATAGGATTAAAAACAGCATTATAAAGTGTGGGTGTACTTTCAAAAGTGAGATCAGAGACTTCAGTGTTTTGTTTTCCATGTTGACAGCATTTTAATTGATTTTAATTTTTTTTTTTTTTAATAGATTAAAAGTACATGCCACAATTTAAAATCCAACTGGATTTTCCCCCACCCCACTAGCATATATTCCACTTTTTGATTCTGAAAGCCAGATTTAACTTCTAGATGCCTTTTGGTCTGCATCAGTTGCAAGTAAAGGTAGGCAACTGAGGATTAGAGTCAGCAAACTGATGCCAAGGAAATTAAATCTTTAGGAAATAAGTAGTAAAATGTCAATACGTTATTTGTATCCCTGAAGTAAGCAGCTGAGAACGCTCAGGTTGAGCAGCTCAGATCTGAACACTGTCATCTGAAATCACTTCCTGGAGTAGAACCACATTTTACAGGTCAGTGTGTCACATATCAAAGCTGACCTTCTTTTGTTATGCAGGATGCATGCAAAATCTGCTTTAATCTAGATCAGTCAGCATAGTCATCAGCTGAAGATTAAATGAAAGTCACAACAGTAATTGCAAATTCCTCAGTTTCATCCTATATTACAGGGTGTTGAATTTTACTGTGTGAGACTTATGTCTTGGAGAACTAGTAGTGGATATTCCTTATGTGCAGCCCATAATACAGCTACTAAAACAGTGCTTATTCAGGGAGCTGATTCAGTCCATTAAAAAAGTTAAAAGTACAAGCTTAAAAAAAAAATCCCAACCAAACAAAAGGGAAATAAATAAATACATTATGTTTTCACTGCACTGTTTCAGTGACTTGTGGACAGCTTCTGATGCTCTTTATAGGAATACAAGGGTGATTTAGGCAGTGCAACCACCCAAAATACTTGACTTCAGCTTTACTTACACAGAATTCAGAGAGAGACAACTCCATTTCACCTTCCATTTCACTTGAAGAAGAATTCTGAAATAAAAACAGCTTGCCTATTAAAGATTCCCTCCCCCTCAAAAAAGCAATGTTCCAGTTGTTTTGCTACAATCTACCAGACTATCCTAGGATGTTACCTCTTTTCAATAGGGTTGAAGTTCGAGACACTGTCGCAGTTCTCCCAAGATTTTTCCACTGTGTAGGCTGTAACCAACAAGTGATGTGAGCCAAGTCCTGTGCCTCCCTGCCCAAAATCCCAGCAATTGGAGCCTGAAGGCCAAACAAAACCAGTGTCGAGTCACGCTGTCTGTGAGCACCCTCACCTTAAACAGATGGATAGTCTCTGGCAACTGTCGATCCTGGCTACCCTTACTTCAGCTTGGCACAAGATGGAGTAAGGCAGACCAGAATCTGTCATCTGTGTTGGATCACTTTATTAAAAATCAAGGACTACATGAACCAAAGAGGCTGACATTTAGGTCACCTGCTACTCACCAACACTTTAAAACATCAGCAGTCTGTCCCCTCCGTCACAGGCCATTGCTGAACTTCTGAAATAAGTCTCGCAAGAAAGAACAGTCCAATCTAATATTTGTATTTGCAATTCTGTTCTGTATCTATCCTCCTGCTGCCTCCCACAGTAAAATATAAATACAAAATGTTCACAATTATTTCGATGGCAAGCATTTTTGTCTCCTTTCCCACATTCTTTATGGTGTGTAAGGTGGTGGCTTTTCAAAAGGGGGAAAATAGGGTGGCGAGTAACGAGGCGGTGCATTAGAGGCCCACATATAGCTGGGAGATGGAGACATGGACTGGGGGTCATCGGAGAGGCCAGAAGGAGTGGAGGCTGGAAACACGCTGGAATGCTGCAGAGAGACAGCAAGAAGGCTGTAATGTAACCACTTCGTAATGTCAAGGACCTCGGCAAAGCGATACTTGATTACCAAGCAATTCAAAATTAACAGTGCAAGGTTCACCTCTGCAAAACGTGTACATACAAATAACAATTCTGTTATTTCCACTTGTGCCTCTGCTGGTTTTGGCTGTGAAAGAGTTAATTTTCTTCATAGCAGCTGGTAGGGGGCTGTGGTTTGGATTTCCACTGGAAACAGTGTTGATAATTCAGGGATGTTTCCCTTATCACTGAGCAGCATTTACCCAGAGCCAAGGACTTTTCTGCTCCTCACCCCACCCCACCAGGGAGGAGGCTGGGGGGGCACAAAGAGCTGGGAGGGGACACAGCTGGGACAGCTGATCCCAACTGACCCAAGAGATATCCCAGACCATGTGGCTTTTTGCTTTGCTTGTGCACGTGGCCTTTGCTTTACTGTCCCACGAATTTTCTTACTTTTGATTCTCTCCCTGATCCCCCCAACCCCATCTGTGTGGGGCACAACTGGTTGAGTTCAAACCACAACAACTCTTCTGGCCACTAATACATGGTGGGTTTGCCCCAGACAGCCGTGGTGCCCCTGTGCTGCTGTTTTCCACCTGGCCCACCTGAACAGGCCACCTGCAGAGCAAACAGCATTTGGTAGTGCCTGGACACACCAGCAAACACTGGGGCAGAGCCCAGGCACCACACACCCCTCCACCACCCTTTAGCTGCGGCACAAACTGAAATCCCAAATGTTCCTGGCTTAAGGCCCTGGCAAGTGTGAGGAGGATTTGCACTGCACTGTCAGGGGCATAGGAGTGCCCATGGGAAGATGGCATTAATTCCTCCGTCAACAGGGGGTGAAAGGCAGAGAAGGTCAACGCTCGCCTGCGCTCTCCTGTCAGAGCCAAACGTGGCTCAGGGCCTGCAGAAGTCAAAACTCTGAGGCTTTCTCACCCAATTGCCCCCAACCAAGAACACAATGAGGAGTAAGATGGCACTGCTTCCACCAGGACCTTTTCTACTGCCCAGTTCCCATCACGGCCCCCTGCAAAGGCCTGGTGCCTTCCTCACCACTGGAGGAGTGTGGAGTGTCATTAGCGATGGCACAAGTAGTGGCTGCTGCAACACCCACCAGTTCTCCCAAAAACCAGAGAGCTGGGTCTGCCACTTTAGATTTGTGTGTGAAAGCTCTTGCAGGGGCACAGGCTTCCTCAGAAATTCTGGAATAGTTCTGGTTTTTTTCCTGTGAAGGATGTGTGGGATGAGTGGGAAGCACTCTTGCACCAGAGGCAATGCATCCTCTGAAAGGAATTTGAGAGGCAATGCTGGGCCTGCTCTGTGCGCTGCAGGATGGCAGAGAAGAAGGTGTCAGGGTGGTACAGTCACTGCTTGGAGCAGAGTAGGGTTCAAGGCAAGAGAGTCTCCACAGCCAGAGGCTCAGCTAAGGCTCTCATGCAGGCCCCCAAGTTTCTTGGAAGATACACAAAGCACAAACTTGGAATTGCATCTCAAAGAGAGACTTGGCTATATTAAATTTAGATTACCTGAATTTATGCCCAGCTTTTGTGCTGACTCCTAAGCCAACACCTGTGCTCACAGCACTGAGACCCAGAGACTTTGATCCGTCCAGCTGAGCTCTAAGTGTTAGCAGAGCCCAGCAGTACTTCCAGATAAAAAGCAGGAAAATCCACCCATGCTGAGCTCTCTGCAGGTACTGGGGCTACTGTACTAACAAATCCTGAGTCTGACAGCACTTAGAACTGCTGAGAAGCTGAGAAGAGGACTTTGCAGACGAGCTTGGTTTGGTATGCACTGATGTTTGCATTTTTGTAAGTGATACAATGCCAGTGACTGTCCCATTAATCTCAAAAATGCATCACAAATCTGTATACATAAATCCTAGAAATTGTGATATAAGTATTCAAGCATACCTAGGAAGCCCTGACAGCAGTGTTGTCTAGTGCCACTAGCAGTAAAACCAGAAAAGTTTAGATTTAACTCTTATGCATGGCTCTGATGAGGGAGATGGTGGCTATCACAGAGCACACCTCTTAGTTGATTTCTAAGACCTTAACCTCTTGTTAATAAAAAAAAGTCTTCAGCCCTGATGGTTGCAAAGAAAATGTATGATGTGTTATCATCACCACTGTGGTAACATCCACTTGACAAAGGAGCTGAGGAGGAAATGTCCTCATCTGCTTCACCAGTGAGAGCTGAAAGCTTCATGTGAACGCACCACTTCCAACAGCACAGCTCCATAATTCAAAGAGGAAGGGATGCATTACAGCAGAGGTGATGTTTGCAGAGACCACTCTTAGACTAGCTGAACCATGTGGAAAGAAACCACACAATAGCTTTTCAGGCATCATGTCTCTTCAGGAGCTCAAATAGCTTGTTTCCAAAAGCTCATCTGTTTCTCTCAGACACAGCAGTTGGCCCAATAAAATCTAGCACCTGAACACCTGGCTTTGCCTCTCTCCTCAGAACACTGCAGTGCCAGAGGCAATGCCTATTTTTCACGTGGTCTCTACTAGTGAGAGGTGGGGAAGGCAGGCAGGCAGCAGGTTCTGTTGCCCTCACTTCAAAGACAGCTTTCAGGAAAACACTGCCTTAGTAAGAGAGAGCACTACCAAGGGGACTTAGTCTTTCCTACCTAGTAGGAAAGATTGGATATGTTCTGCAGGAACAAGAAAATTAAACTGTGTGAATGATGGGAAGGCAGGTCTCCAGAGTCCTGCAGGACTGGCTGGATTTAACTTTGCTGCTAAACAAGAAAACATCCTGTAACATTCCCCACCTGAAAGTCATATGCAGAGTAGGGAGGCAGGTGAGGAGTGCTGTGGTAGTAGGTGTTGTAAGATGTCACTTGTGGCCTTGAGTAGTAGGTCACTGAAGGGTGTGCATTTTCAACCGTACAGTTCAGCGTAGGGAGGGAAGGAGTCTGTTAAAACAAAAAGAAGAGAATTTCAGGCTGCTAACCAAGTCATGGAAAGCTGACAGCTGAATGAAAGCAGAAATGATTTAGAGGAGCACTGTGTGTCTTTAGACCTCAATTCTGTTGAATTAGCAACTGGCAATCCAGTTCCCTCTCAGGGCAGCAGCTAAGTCCCAAGGTCATTTCATTCATCACCCACTCATTGCTTCCTCTCAGATTCCACAGAACAAGCTGGTAATAGCCCAGTGCACACCAGTACTCAGACAAAACAGATTTGCATCTTCACAAGTAGGAGAAATGATCCATTAATTCTGATTACTCTGTTATTCAGTGCATTTTGAGATATTTCAAATCCTCTTGTACTGCTGTTCACAGACACTTCTATGCATCTTTTTTTTTGCAGAGGTTTAGAGGCTCTCTGGTGTGGATCAAATCTCAAAGGGCTCCAATACACAGCTGGGAATGTGTCTCCTATTTTATTTGGGAAGATACTGGTGAGTCTGAAAAGAGTTCAGAGTTCTGCAATATGGCACCCTTAGTGCAGGGTCCAAGATTTCTTTGTAAGAAAAATGTATAGCCAGGACAACAAATGCTCTTTTTCTGTGTGTCTCATTTTGTATTTTTCCAAATGAGTCACAAGAGACTGAAAAAAGCCCAAGGGTATCTGCTGAATGTTCAGCTCTCCCCACTGATTTGTGCTTTCAGAACAAAACCGTATGGAAGGTAGCCTGGTCAAGTGAGGGTATTTCAAAGCTCATGTTGTCAGAACAGCATTTTCTCCATTATCTGAAGTTTGGTTTTGATCCCCAGTTCACGCTTCCAGATTCCACACCATGAAGAAACTAGATGGAGAGTTTCAGCCTAACACAGCTGCTTTAACAGCCTGTAAAGCTCAGAACCCTACTACTGCTATAAAATCAACAATTCATGAGCAACCACCACACATTTCCTTGTAGATGAGAATGCTATGAAAAGAAGATCAATTTTTAAGAAAGAGCTTATTTTCATTCATCCTGGTATTGCCAACACCTCTGAGAAGGTTCCTTTTCAAAATACAACCTCCTAATTCTGTTCATCTTTTCTAACTGTGCTCAGGTGGTGACTTGAGATCAGAAAGTGAATCACTTCCACTTTCCCCTCACAGTTATTTCCTGCCCTCCTTTTCATCCTGATTGCAGTGATGCATAGATAATTTGCATGGAAATACTAATAGCTGTTCTCATGATTATTTTTAAAAGGCAATTTGCCTGAGTTTTTTTGCCTTAATATACAGAGAAATTGATACCCTCTTACCATGTCTTTAAAGCCTCCAAGGATTGCTGCTGTAATGATCCCCAGGAATAGCCCCACTATGTTCAGAATGGTTGCTGACCAGAGCAAGTGGTAAAGGTGGATGATGTCCTGGCAGCTGCTGACATCAATGTATTCATAGTAGCCTCCAGAAATCTCCACTCTGCTACATTAGGAAAGAAAAACAATGATAAAAAAACCTGCACCACGCATGGTAAAACCTAAGTACTTCTGCTGGACAGTAAAATGCATTCTGCAATTCAATGACAGCCTGGACCTGACTACCAAGGGAGTGGTGGATCCCACACTTGTGCCATCCAAGATCTCCCTGCACAATGACAGCAGAAGACTGATGTGCTCTGAAACAAACAAGGCCTGCAAACACCCAAATATCCTTGAGTCTGAATCTGCCGGTTATTTCTATCATCTGAAATCTCCAGAGGTCCTGCAGGCTTCCCAAGGACAAAGCAGTCTCTAAAACAGCCTGGCACCCTGGCAGGGAGAGGTCTTTCTGCTTGCATTTTTAAGCTTTTCCACATGCAGAAAAGAGATAGAGAAAACTTGGTGGAATCCAGTGAGGTCATTATTCTGGAAAAGGAAAAGCAGCTCCTGCAACATGTGGGCTGGAGTCTTGCAGTGGGATTGTAGGGATAGGTACAAGTTTGGAAGAATTTGTGATGGAAAGCTAGAACTTGATTTCACTTAGGAAGACTGCAAAATGCCTTCTAAAACGGGTTAGATGTTCTTTTTTTCCTTCCTTCTGCATTTCAGAAAGTTGCAGGGAGAAGCTGTGAGCAAGCTATCTCCCAGGTATGCAGAGAGATAACACGGGTTTTGCAGATGTGTACAAGGCCTCCTCTGGACAGAGAGGGTGGGGGAAGAGAGAGAAGATACAAAGAGCCTTGGAGAAGGCAGGGCATTGCCTTTTTCCCCCGGGGGCCCAGTGCGCAGCATCATTAATAAATGGTCCTTGCATCTGAAATAAACCCTTTCTTTAATCCTTCCATTGCCTTGGCATTCTCGGGAGGAATACCTGCATACATTTTACCTTACAGGGATTCTTCAGGAATGACTTCTCTCTGCCTGCTGGGCAGGACACAGGCTGGCCTTCAGCATAACATACCAGATGTAGTGGGCTACAGCAAATTCCCCTTCAGAAAACATATTCATCAGGGACAGACAATATTAAGAGCTTATGAATGACTTGTCTCTCAGCTTACATACAGGGTTAGGCTCAAACTGCACAAGGGCTTTGAGGAAATGGGAAAGAACAGGCTCATACTGAAGGTCAAGAAGCAGGAGATCCAGGCTCAGGTCCCCAACAGACTCTGCAAGGCCTTCAGGACCTGTCCCCTTTCACAAGAGCCACGCTCCTTCCCTCATTACTCAACTTTGACTTCTCTCCTTTCTTTTTTCCGTATTTCATTGTAGCAGGCCACTGCAGGAGACACTGCAACAGGAGACAGGGCTTTCAAGCAGAATCGAGGCAGAGCATAAGCACAGGTCACAAAAACCTGCACGTTGCTGGCACGACCTCCGTGTGACCCCGAGCACACACCGTGACCGCCTCCAACAATACAACCTGTATGTGCTGCTGGCAAGAGCTCGTTCCTATGGAGATGTGTCAGAGTGCAGAGCTCTCAGCCAGCCTTGGTGCACCGACGAGAACATTCTGCACTGTTCAGAGACATACAGCATGTACTTATCCAAGGGAAGGGGCTCATCCTGCGCTGCCACAGCCAGACATCAGGAAGGATGCAAGACTGTCATCACTTTTTCTGCATTTTCCATCCTTTATATGTGAACTAACCGGTCTTGAATGTCCATGCCTTTCTTAATGAGATCCCAAAAGAACCAGCACCTCCTCAGTAAAGGATATTTTTGTGGTGCTAAGCAAGATTAAGATGGTAACAACTAGTATCTTGTATCAAAGAGGAGAAAATGGGTCAGAGGCAGGACCCTGAACCAGCCTGCCTGGGGACAAAAAAACCCAAAACCAAAAGAAAGGGAAATACAGAAAAGTTTCAAGCTTTTCTATTCCAAACACTTCTCTGTGAATCACTCTCTTCAGCCAGTACAAAGGGATAATGTTCTGTAAATTGCTAAAGGAAGGTGTGAGCTTCGCCCCTCTGCAACGGCTTTCACAGACACAAAGTCCTACAAAGACCAGGGATCACGTTTCCCAGCACAGGGAACCACCTACCCTCTCCCAACAGCAGCTTTTGATCTTCCTCCACCACAGTCAATGATTTAAGTGGGGGCCAGCCCAGCTAAGTACTGTGAGAAATGCTAAGCCTGGAACAGCCCTGGGCGAGAACGAGCACTAAAAAAATCAATTTATTAATTGCTTGCTGACACACATTAGAGACTCCACATGATATAAGCAGCACATGCTGTAAACGAAGCTGGCTTAGCCTGATCTAGCTGGTGTGATCACTCTGCAGTGGCTCTGGATTGGTAACCACCTTCTGACTCTTCATTGCACAGTGCTGATTCACCTTCCAACCCTCTGTGACCATGAACAATATTCAGAAATGGGCAGAGAGGTTTATGAACACCAGCCTGTGAACTCTCCTCCCTGTTGGCAGGGTGGGGAATGAAACGGTCACAAGGAGAGGAAGAACAGTGTCCCAGTTTTTACACCAATAATCATCTAAAACAAAATAAGACCCAGGGAACAAGCAGTGCCAACAGAGAAGGAAGGTGACACTCAATAGGGGGGGAAACTGGGGAGGACACCAAGCACAAAAGCAATGGAAACTCCTGTCCTCTTCATTTTTCCAGCTGGGCTGGCCCAGAGCATGCTCACCCACAGCTGGGATGGCTTTGGTGTGTTCACACACCCCTTTATTTGGTTAGCTTTTGTCTGGGACTCCTGGTGGCTGGTAACCACAGCTTAAGATCCCTTCCCACAACAACTGTCATTAACCGATACTGTCCTGGCCTGCCAGACACCTGCAAGGCAGACACCTGCTTGCCCTTCCCACGGCCAGGAATGGCATTTTTGGCTTACTTCCCACAGTTGTACAGGTCACAGCAGAAGCAGGTATTGGTTTTTATTTTTGGTGTGCAGGGGGCACGGCGTTGTGGGTGACAGATCGCCTGTGTGAACACAAAGAAAAATACATAAAGCATATTGGGACATCCTCAAACAGTTTCTGCTGCTATTTGGCTTGCTCTACACGTAGATTTTGCACTGATCTCCAGATCAGCCCCAGGCAGATTTTTCTTTCCTTATCTTGCTCCTGCAAAGTCCACAGTTACTGGAATAAAGATGTACTAGACTAGAACAGACCAGCATTTCCTTTCACAGTGGGGAACTCACAGACAAGCCCACGCCTGCATAGGAAGGGGGTTTGCAACTCTTACAGGCAGCCAAGGTGTTGCTGAACGAACACAGCTCACCACACAGCAACTCAGAGCACAGAGCTGCCAACAGCACGGTACAAACTGAGAGCAAGAATTCCATACTGGTGCATAACTGACCAAAGTGGTCATTGTCTGCCCATGGGTGGTAACACCCAAGCTCACATGGACAGGCTTTGGCCTGAAAAGAGAGTGGACCCCAGCAATGCTGCTGAGTAGTACTTAACTTTGCACCTCAAGCAGGCATTCTAATCTGGAATATAGTGGTTATTCAAAACTACTTGGGAACTTGGGAGCCCTGAGAGGCTTTTCTTTAGAGAATACAATAGCAGGGGTGCAGAGGCTGGTACATGTTACTCAAACCCACAGAAATTACTGCTGTCTGAACTCTTAACCCACACCCTAATCCCATAATGAATGCACAGATGAAGATCTAGAGAAACTGGTGTATTTTCCTACCCCCCATCCCCTCCTCTCCACCTGCTCCTTCACTAATGAGGCAGCACCAAGCATGGAGGAATTCACCTCCTTGAGTCCTCCCACCCCAGGTCCAGCCTCCCACCCCCTCCTCACTTTTCAGACCTCCAGGACACTGGAGCAGACTCCTGGCAGCAGGTTCCTCCACCTGCACCATGAAGCTGCCCCTTCAGAGCCAGCAGAGCCAAACCTGCTCTCACCTCAGGCGGGGTCGTGCTCTTGGAGTAGTACTGACATCGCCCCGCGTACAGCGGCCTCAGGTCCTGCCGGGGAAAGGCACCAGGATCAGTACTGCAGCTAAACCAAAAAAACACCTAAAGGGGCTGGGGAAACTTAGAGACTGTTCTGTACCATCCCAGCCATGGCACCCCCCACCCCAGCTCCCTGAGCCCTGGGTGATGTTTGACCCTGGTCCTTGGAGGGATGCACTTGCCACTGCACTAGTGACTGGTCGTGACAGCAGCAGCTCATCCTTTTTTTAAGTCACTAAATGGAAACTGAGAACAACTGTTTCCTGTTTATACTCTAATGCTTTAATGAGCTTTGTATCAAATTGCTTCATTCTACTACAACATTCAGTGGTTGACTCTGCATTAAGAACTACCTCTCCCTACATTTAAAACAAAATAGATGTTACTGGTCATATTTTATCCCTTGGTGATAGCTGTAATTCACATTACATCTTAAGAGTTGTGAGACTCAGTAAACATATAAAGCACACACACAAAAATTTTAAGATCTCAATTCTTCATGCTAATTTAAAAATATTTTTTAAAAAAGATACATTTTTCTAAAGCTTATGATTTGAAACAGCATTCAGCACATGGTGTATATTTGCAGGGTTTGATGTGTCCCGATACAGGACTGCAGACACCATCACATGCTTTCCTAGAGTAAAAGCATTGCAGGACCTGTGTTTTCCTGGAAGCACTTACTATGTGTCTGGCAGCAAAGACACCGTCTACTATGGCACAGCAGAACGCAGCAATGACACCAAAGCTGATGAAGACGATCGATGCAACCAGCTGAGAAAGGAAAACAAAGCAAAGTATCATCTGCCTCTCCACAACCAAGTGAGTTGTGCCCTCTCCACAAGGATACGTAAACCACAGTCAATAAGCCCTCAAGCAATCAATGACCCAAATGTTTGCCTGGGCTGCACAGCCTGCTCTCACTGAAGGCAGTGGGATGTGTGTCTGCTCTGGCAAAGCGGCAGGAGCAGCAGCACTGTGCCAGACTGGTTCTCTGGGCACTTGAGATAGTAAGGCAGGTTTTTCCATGACTCCAAAAGGCTGAGGATACACCTCCTCTTCTGGCTGCTGCTGTCCTTAACTCTTCCCTAACACAATCCAGAAGGATCCTATGTGTATTTTTAAAGTACCTGAGGATTTTTAGGTTAATCACACCGGTTTTACCTAGATCTCTCTAAGTGAAAACAGGCCTTCCTCCAGCAACATCCATGTGCAGAGCAGGTCAGCTTGAGAAACGAGTGAGGATGCAGGAGGGCTTGCTTGGGACAGTGGAAATGGTCCCTGTACAATTGCTGACTTCACTTAGCTTCAAAATGAGAGAAAATAAAATGGTTTTCTAGATGAGGCAAGTATTCAAGGCATAGACAAAACCTGCAGCAGCAGATGGAGCAGACTGTGAAATGATCCCAGTGACCACATGAACACATCACAGCCACTAGGCTGCTACTGGAATATTAGATGCTGTGCCACAAACTACTTGCAGATGGCAGCAGGTGACAAGTTTTCCAGGATCAGATCCTACAGTGGGACCTTGGTTCTGTCAGCTGTAAACACCTGCATTTCCTCCCACTCAGCCCCAGCATCTCCACATTTGGATCCCAACTCACATTATCCATCACAGTCACCCTGTTTCACAACCAAACCAGTGAAATTACACAAGGGGAGAAGGTGCAGCTTCTCACAGTCTCAGTGGAAGAATGGGGCTTATGGCTTAGGTTATTTTGTAGCAAGTTTGGTTTTCCTCTGTACTGTCCTTTTTTTTCATACATACATGAAAGAGGATATTTTCCCTAAATAGCATGAGCCTTGGAGATGGGAAGTGAGCCAAACACTAAATATATACAATTAGGGTATTTGTCGGTCATGCCTGCTTGCAGATAGGAGCTGCTAATATGGTTGTTTAAAATAAATACAAGGTTAATGATGATACTTTCATAACAGCCCTACCAAGAGATAAGGATCTAATGCTAGAAATGGGTTTGCTCACTTTATTTACACAGTTTCCTCTCTCTCAGCTGGAGAAAGAAAAGCCTGAAAACCAAACACCGAGAATTTATGATAAAGAAAAATCAAACAGCAAATAGAAATATACAAATTAATTTTTAAAATCTCAGTTTTCAACTTGCCACTAAGATTTTTGATTTGGGCTTAATACTGTTACTGTAGCAAGCAGAAGCCCCTCTCAAGAGCTGAGTGCTATTCTTGATTGGTCTTCACTCATCTAACTCTTGATGAAGTCAGCCACACCAAGTAGCACTCAGACAAGAAAAGACAAACTGGGTTTGGACAGTGCAGGAGCCAGACAGCAGGAGTGTCCTGGGCTGAGGATCCCTTTAGGCGAGGGTACAGCCACTCATGGGCTGTGAAGCTGTTGGTTCTCACTTTTCCCTGGCCTGGATGACTGTCATAAAGGCACATAAACCCCTGACTCCTCGGCTGAAAACTGCTGAGCGGGCAGCTGGGCTGGGCCAGAGCTGCCTGCAGGGTGGGCAGCTGGGCCTCCCTGGGGGGACGAGAGCTCTCCCTTCCTCTGGCAAGTGGGAAGTGCAGATGTATGGCATGGCAGTCAATATGCTTGGGTGGGAAAAAACAGAGAGCTCTATTCCTGACGGCAAGCAGGAGAGAAGTGAGGAGTGAGTGCTGCTTCAGCTTAGCTCTCCCCGTAAGCCACGCTGGCTCACTCGACTCCTCACGCTCCCCAGTCACCTGACGGACAGAAACACGCACGAGAACACGGCTGCAGAAGTTGCTTTTAGCTTTTTCTGCCACCAGCTGCGTAACAAGCCAGACCCAGACTGCCTTTTAGCAAACTAGGACACTGGGGAAGTTCACAGGAGATAAAAAAAATAAATCCTGCGCTGCCAGTGGCATTATGGAAACATGTAATGGACAAAGCTGCCCCTGGGCAAGGAGGAGGTGTGACTAAAGCACAGGGGCAATAAGTGACAGCTACTGCATGTCCTCTCTGCGGTCAGAGCAGAGACACGCTCGCTGCCGGCCGAGGCAGCAGTGACGCAATCCCTGCAAAGCTGGGTCATGTGTGCTTTTTAGGACACAAAATGATAGAGATGAAAAGAACAAACACAGGCTACCCAGGGCTCTTCAGAATAACCAAATAGTCAAGTCAGAGCCATGCTGGCACTCGTGGGCACTCCTGTGAAGGGTCCAGGACTGGCACAACATGGTCATTGCTCAACCAGACACTGACATGCTGCTAATACACGATGAGCAAGAGGCTGAAACCCCGCTAGGACAGAAAGAACAGGACATGTTGCTCTTACAGAGCCAGGGTGAAAACAACAAAAAATATCCACTGGGAAACTCACCTCCCCTGCACCCTGTCTGACTGTGGGAAAGGCAGATGTCCTCTCCTGCAGGGTCTGCCTCACCCTCTCCCTCTGGCTCTGCAGGGAGCCTGCTATTTGCAAAGCAAAGGCTAAGGCAGCACAGCCGAGCTTCTGGATTTGGACAGGCAGGAATTTCTCCCACTTCCCCCTGCAGTTTGGCCACCACGCCTTAGCCTTGGTCAGCAGCACACCCTGCTAATCTGACCCCTGGGCCCCCTCCCAGAGGCAGCTCCATCCCTGCAGAAGCAGCAGCAGCCCAGTGGGACAGGCTGCAGGGACAGCACCACCTCCCTCAGCCCTCTGCTGCCTCACACCAGAAGGCTGGAGAGATCTTGCTGCCAGAGCATGGGGAAAACACCGGGGAAGGGGGTTGAAGCCACTCTCTTGGGAGAGCCCAGCCAAGGCAGGAGACAGATCTGCCCACAGGGTTCTCCAGGAGCTGGACTGCTTCTCCCCACATGCTACCTCTGGCCAGCCATGTGTGGGCAAGCAGAGGAAATAGGCTTGGAAAGATTGAGCTCGACAGCCTGCCAGGACAGTATTGGGTACCAACTTCTACTGATCTTTCTCTACCCCCACCTTTTGCTAAATTCTCCAAAAAGCCTTCCCCCTGCCCTAAGCCCTGTTACTGATGTCTCCAAGCACTACAGCCCCTACCTCCAGGCACGGGCATCAAGGTGTGGAGTTTGTGAAACAGCATCTGCAAGATGCCATCAGAGACCCAGACAAGTCCACAGGTGTCCTGTGGCAAGCCAAGTGTCCTGTGCTTGCCAAGAGGGGTAATCTGAGCCAGCTCCATCCCCACTGCACAGAGAGACCCCCTCCCACCCCAGCACAAGCTCAGTTGTGATCTCATCTCCCCTGGTTTGTGCTATCTGCATGTTCACTGCCCATCTGCTCTCTTCTGAATGTTGCTCCCAGCCCCAGCACACAAAACCCTCCTTGCAGCACAAGGAGGGAACCCGAGAGCACTGGGGGGTGCACACCTGGTCTAGCCAGCACCTCCTGTGTTTCTGAGGTCCCCAGCTGCTGCTCTACAGTATGCAAAGTTTCTTGGTTTTCCTTCTCACTGGAAGAGGTGTTTGGAAACAGGAACCAGCAATAAGTGTGTTAATCAGCAGTGCTGGAGAGATTGGCTGCTTTTCAGTTACACCAGACTTCGTGCTTTTAGTCATGATGATATCTCAAGTGACTTATGCTGTAGACATTTGTAGAGCAGAGAGCTCTGAGCACTCCTGTCTTCAGGAAGGACTTTCTGCTGGGCTCTCTAGGGGATTTCACCTCCAGACTGGCTGTTACACCAGCTGCTTGATCTTCTCCTCTAACCATTGCTTAGAATAGAAAGTGGCCAAAAGCAATTCTTCTAGACTTCTGGGCTTCAAAGTATTTATTTTAGAAGATTTAAAATAACTATATTATTTTTATCTTATTTACCATAGTATGTATCACATACTGAGACAGCTCAAAAGAAAAAGCCCTGGGCATGAGCCTGTGAAGCACTGACTATCCTGAAAACTCCAAATGCTCAATTTCAAGCTCTTTAAAAAAATCCCACCAAGTTCAGTGAGACTGTGTATAGTCACTTTGTGCTTCCTTGAGCATTTCTTTTTTTTAATTTAAAAATAGCAGAGTTAACAGCCTTATTCTCCTGGGCTGCCAGAAACCATCTCTAGTTCTCAAGAGGTATGCAATACTTACCCTGGAAGAGTTAGGAAAACCAATAATACTATTTACATACAATACTTGAGTTACTGTCACTTTTTAGAGAAGTTTCTATAAAGAACTTACCATTTGCCTTTTGTTTTCTATCAAGTTTGATCCGATTATTCCAAGAAACGACCCAAAACCAAGCTGAAAAACAATGTATTGTTAGCATTTAGATCAGGATGATACCCAACATATTTTGTATACAGACAGAACACATTTAAATCCAGAAGCAGCAAGAGAACATACTGTGGATGTGTGAGCACTCTTCCTTAGCAAGAAACCAGTGGAGTCTCACTAGCAGGAACTATCAGGTGTATCCCACATATGGCACTAAAAGCGTGTGTAGAAACCAAAAGGATGAGTTCTGAATTCCATCCCCGCCCCAGTGATGCTGAGTAATGGCTGGTGGATGAGGATATGCATTGCTGTCTTGGAACAACCCTACCAACACTCAGGACTCTCCAGATGCAAACCTTGCAGGACCACAGCACTAACATCTGCAGGATCAGGCTTCTGTAGCCTCACTGAGCCTGTGAGCAATCACCTCAGTTTTTAACTCAGAGACTTTCTTGATGCGAAGTATGAAATAAGGGAGATTTACACTTGAGAAGATTTAGCAGCTTTATGCCTTCTCCTACTCCTCCCTCATTTCCAGGGGTGAGGATGCATTCACCAGGGTCTTCTACCAGAAGAGCTCACGCCAACCCAGCCAACAGAACAAGCTACTGCAGCAAAAGCATCTTTTTTTGCTGCCATAACTGACAACACTTATTTCAGCTCAGTGAAGTCATCCAGGAGTGTGATTTTCCACCTCCCTTCTCCACAGCCTTAAGCTATTTAGCTACACTAAGGTGAAGTTTCCAGGACAGAGCACACCTCAGCCAGGCCAGAAACAGGGACTTCAAGGAGGAACCACAGACTATGAGGGGAGATGCAGAAGTACTTCTGTGTCATGCCAAGAAAGGTCTCTGCCTGGTCTAGAGCACATCCATCTCCACTTCCATGGGTCGGCAAAATGAGAAATGCCAGAAAAGTCCTACAGTTGGACCTGTCATATTAAGCAGGTGCAAATCCAGACAACAGACCAAGGGACAGTGAAGATCTGGGTGAGAACACCCAATAACTGGCCAACTCCCCAGGAAGCAGAACAAAGCACGAGACAAACTGCAGTGATTCAAGAATGAGCCAACCAACTTGGAATCGATATTTTAAGAGCCAGGAATAGAAAACAAAGAGTTAATAAGCCAAATACTTTCAGGCAGAGGCATATATAGAGATTAAAAGACACAAATATGATGAAAAAGTTGGGCTTAAATCTTCTTCTGCCCTGGTTAAGCCCAGTAACCTTTGGTGCAGTGCCGTGGGCAGCAAGAGCAGCTGGCTCAAACAGCAGGGCTTAAAGCAGAGCAGCTGATCAGGCAACACACACCTAAGGCAAATGCTCAAGAAAAATGTTTTGTGCCCTTTGAGCTTTATCCATAAGAGAAATATCCACGTGGTCTTTCAGAGCAGCTTCAAATCAAAAGGTGAAATACCTCAGATAATCTAAGGTAATTCAAAAAGAAGAAATTACAGCAAGTCTGTACATCCAACAGGTGAAGACCAAATAAATCAGTGGATTCTCCTTAACAGGAATTCTCATTGCATTAATGGAAAAACTACTCATTCTTCTATGGATGGGACAAAGAGATCTTAGGAATCTGCATCAACTGCATCATTAATTTGCTGATGGATGTGATGCCTTGGGATGCCTGTTTGAAAGGAGGACAGGACACAAAATGAATGCACTTTTCCAGCCCGAAGCCAACATCCTTGGCAAGGAACCACTACAGAAGAGGTTTGCCAGTGAAAGCATAAGAAAGATCAGTCATTTACACAGATTCTGGAAGCTGTTGTAACTTGGAGACAACACACGTATCTCACAGTCTCACTTCACAAGGGTGCTTGCCCTGTGCACCTGATCATTACTCTTGTCTGCTGAGCACCACTGTTATATTCCAGGCTTCTCTATCCCAGCTCAGTCATCCAGGCACAGGTGAGGACATTTCCCACAGAGACACAGCCAGGGTGCTCACTGATGTAGTCATGAAAGTTGGGTGGTCATGGAGGAGGGTGAGGGCAGCCTGTCTACAGGACATGTCACTGCACCCTCTAATTCAGCTTCTCCAGTTGTACCAATGAGGAACTGAGTTGTTTTGGGAAAAAACTAACCTCAAACCCTCAAAAAACCCAAACAAACAAAATCCCACTCATGTGGATGGTCTCCAGTGCCCGGTTCTGCCCTTCCTTGGAAGAAGAGGCCTGGGAAGACAATCCCCTGCATTAGACAATCCCCTTCTTTGCATGTCCCCTCCTCCACAAGAGGTGTTTGCCCAAGGAACACAAGCTGAAGGAGCACAGAACGGTGCATGAGGTGTGGCAGTGATGAGACTTCTGGCTCTGTGTTTTCCTTACCTTACCTACCACCACAGGGCACTCAGGGTATGACTAACAGTGCACAGAATCCCTGAGGGAAATGCACACAGGCCTAACAGCAGTTTGAGGTTCTGGATGACAAGAGCTGCAAGGAGCTGCTTCTTCAGGGCTGTGGAAGTCACCTGCTTGGGGACAGCTCACCGAGTACTCATGTACCGCGGCAAGCCCTTTTTCCCAGTAAAGGGAGAAAGCCCAGCTTGTTATGAAACATCAGCTATTTTAAGCACCTGCTGAAGCATCCAGCAGCACACTGGAATGTTTTCCTGTGCAGGCAGACAGGTGAGGTCATCACACATTACCATACAGTGGATTAATGAACCGAGAGGCAGAATTTGGTGATAAACAGAAATCGCCAGGGTGCTTCTGAATAAAGTAACTCAACGCCCTTCCCAAGTCCAGGAATTCATTAATTCCTTGAGTAGACTAAGTCCTAAAAAAGCGTTAGTGATGCTGACGTTCCCAGTCCATAAATAGCATGGGAGATGTCAAGGGGACGTGAGCAACAGACTCAACCCATCTGCATCAGTCTGCAGGACCTGCTCTGAAGCACGAGGTTCAGCTCAGGCTGACAGGGTGTAGGCTAAGTGTGGAATGTTTGAAACCCTTCTCAACACCTTCCTTCTATGCTTCTCTTTAAAAAAGATCAGGCCTAAGTGCAGGAGTTACTGTGAGAAACCAGAAAACCTAAACAGAAGAGGCCCGACATAATCTGTAACAATGTTCCACACTAAGGGCTGTAAAGGGCCTTTCTTCAGCCATAGAGGAACTCGGTCACAGAGAAGTATAAAGCTCCCTGAGATCTGCAATGCATGGCAAATAAATCAAACAGCAATAAGTCAAGAACAAGCCTCTACCTAGTTATCTAGACTGTTTCAAGCCTCCAAATCAGACGTGCAGCACTCCACAGCTGTTAGACCAGAAACCTCTAGCTGGGGCTACTAGCTACACTCAATATGCTAAGACACCCATTTTGACTGCAGTTCAGTGCTTCTTTTTGAGCATATCTCAGACATGCACAGGAACAGACCAGGACTTGCTTTCCAGCTCAGGTTAGACCTTTGCTCATGCTTGGAGAGGCATGATGTACTTGTCCCTTATGCTTCTGCAGGAGGATATACATCAAATAGCAGGAAGGCTGGACACCAGTAGTCTCTAAATTAAGCCATTTGAAGCTACAAGATTGTCCTTTCCCACTTTCAGCTGTTGATAACAAAACAGAAGAAGTGGATGTGCTCACAGCTTTGATGTACATGCTCCCCTGGCAAACTGCTACAGCTCCTCATCCAGGGACTCCAAGTCATTAAACACTTTGGCAAGTGAACTTTATCACCACAAGTCACGTGAACAGTATTCCAAGACCTGGTCTCTCAACTGCTCTTGGCACCTGTGGTCCTTCTTTGCCTTACTTCTGCCTGGGCTGAATGTGATCTGTGCAAACAAAGAAGTTCTATGGTTCCTTCTACTGACATAAAACCTGCCATACCATTAGCTCAAAAGCATTAGTTATTACCTAAGCTCAGAGGAAGCTGCCATTTGGATGTGATTTTTGCATGGGAATGAGCAGCAGGTGCAAAATAATAATAAAACAAATAAATCAAATGGCAATGAAGTAACTGAGCAAAATATTCAGGACAAGAACACCCTTTATAACATTTGCAGCATTACAAGGGACTTTGTAGGCAATAAGTTTTCTAGACCTACCTAGGAGTTCTATACTTACAATAACCCCTGGGTAATAACCTCCAACAGTCACATTTTGGGTTCTTGTTGTAGCAGCTAGGCCCACCGTTAGAATTAATACTGACACAATGAGGAGAGTCACAGTTACGTAGAGGGAATTTCTTTTTCTTCTATTGAACGACCCTAAAAACACACACACACACAACAGAATTTGCTGATTTCATCTGGGGACAGTCACGACACCACAAATTTCTCCTCCCACCGCCAACCACATCATGGTGAATTTCCTTTCTTCCAGCTTGAGAATATTTTTGGGTTTGGCTGTCACTTTTCACCTTCACTAACATGCTTTATCAAGCGTTACTAGGGCATCTGAATCCACATTTACTTATCATTGCTCTGACGTAGATGAAGAGAGCCTTAAGAACTGTAACTCTGCAAAGCTCATTTAGATACATCAGAGTCTCCCAGCCCCTCTGGCCTGGGGCAATTGAGCTAATGAGAAATATTCCCATTAGGCACTTACATATTTTCTGATCTGTCTGCTTACATCAAGCTAAACAACCACACTGTATGCTGCTTGTTTTGAGGGGGGCAATCTTGGCTGTAATCATAAGGCATCCACGATTTTCCATGCAAATGAGACATCACCAGTAACAGCCACTCTCCTGTAGTATCATCCCCTACTTTCAGCAAGGACCAGCTATTTTTACATGCTTGAATAATGAATTTGTGGATTAGTAAAACTCATCTACAGCTGCCTGATGATGTGGTTTTTTTCTTTTATATATTTATAGGTCTCCCCAAATGAACATAAATATAAAAGAGTGATTCCACCAGCCAAGAGGAAAGCTGGCTGCGACGTTACACTCAGCAACATCCTTAGGTGTGTTTGCTCAGCGTGTGCTCTGCCATCTTCATATCACTCTGTGGAACAATCCTTTTGATTATATTTCATATATTATGTAGACATACATATGTCCTACCAGCACCTGCAAGAGTGGCTGGTAGGACAATGGACTATAACAGCCTCCTGCCACACTCCCTGTGGGCTGCTGGGGCCATCCTGAATCCCATTCCCACAGCCTGGGGCTCTCCAGCGTGCCCGGGGAGCAGGTAAAGGTAATTCCCACCCCAGAGGCTCCCAAGCCATGTGCATGCTCCCAGCACTTCTCAGGGTATTTCAGAGAAGGGCAGGGAACATGTCTTAAGGGCAAGGAGCTGCTTTCACCATTGCTGAGTGTATTCCCTAAAGGAAACCATCTTGGGAATCCCCATCTGAGGTGTTCAAGGGCTCCCTGACAGCCTCTACATGGCTAGATAAAACACCTGCAGAAAGGCCAAGACTTGGCCAAGCCAAACACAACCTCCTTGTCCAAATTCTCCAGAAAGAGGAGCACACCAGGCCTTGCTGGGCAGTTTCTGTCTCAGAGGTGTACACCCCAGGTGCCCACAAGCCCTTCCGTAGGGTTGTGCATATCTGCAGAGCAGACAGAGAGATCTTTTCACCCCAACGGCTACACCAATGCAGCCATATGGACACACACTGGTACAAATTATCTCCCTTCTTCCACAGGGACAGCTCTCCCCAGGGAAAAGGGCAGCAGCTCCCCACTGCTCCTCCACACCCGCTCCAGCCTGATCCACCGCCATGCTGCTGGCAGGAGTGCTCCCTCTCCATGCTCTGGACTGGCATGGCTGCCATGGGCATGGGGCTGGATCATTTCACCCACATCAATCAGATGAGCTTGAAATCACAGACAAGTCCTAAACTTGGGGCTTAAAAACCCAACACAAGGAGATCACAGAATCACAGAATGGGTAAGGCTGGAAAGGACCACTGGAGGTCACCTAGTCCAGCCTCCCTGCTCACGCAGGCTCCCCTAGATGAAAGGCAACAGAGGTTTGTAAAGAAAAGCACCATCCTTTCTGACTGACCAGTGTCTCTGGAAGGAAAGCTCTCCACCTGCAAACCTTCTGCTTGTGTCCCACAGCACAGCTCTGACTGCACCAGCGGGACATCACTGGTTCTAAGAGCAAGGAGCCTGGCAACTAGTTAGTACTTAGCTGAAATGAACAGCTACACAGTTACTAATTTCAAAAAAAAAAAAAATTAAATAACTACTAAAGAACCTTAAGATGCAGGCTGGTTCTTTTCTCAGTGATCCTTTGTTTTTCATGCCATGCTTTTACAGCCTGGAGATAAAGGTACCCAACTGTTTGCTGCTTGTTGTATTTGGGGTTATTCTTTTTATTCTCCTAAATCTGCCAAATAAGTTAATAACATAAAATCTAGTCTTCTAAAGCATTCAAAATTCATCAAGATATTAAGCCTTTCTGTATGTATTCCCTCCAAAATGCTATCACTTGTGCCACACTGCAGTTCCAATGCAACCATTTAAATGCAAGTGTCCCATAAATTTTTTAAAATTCCATAGCACTGGGACCAAAATTTAGCTGAACAAAACTTCAAAACCTGGAGAGAAACTGCCACTTCTTACATAGATTAGTTCTGAAAGGAGAGAAAGAACGAACCCGTCTTGCTTCCACATGATTACCAAACTTCTGTTTACTGCTACAGTTTGGCTGGCAAACGAGCAGAGGGTAAACAAACCCAGCCATATGTTCCTTGCACAGCTCAAACTGTGCACGGTCGGGCTGTGTGGGTGTGCAGATGTTTGTGTGCCCTGCAAAACCACCCTGCAGAGCACGGCCGAGTGGGCGCCGTGGGCACACGAGCACAAACCAGTGCTCCTGCACTGCCATCACAGTCACCACGAAAACACCTGCAAAATGCGCCATTTGTCTCAAAACCAGAGTGCTTTTCAACAGCATTTCTCCAGAAAAACACCCTAAAAGAAGCAGTCTGAAACACTGTTTATGGATTCTGAACTTGTTTTTGCACCACCATGTTTTCCACTCCTCGTTTCCACATTGTTTCCCTGGTCAGGAGAGGCAAACATCAACATGCAACAGAGAAGAGAAACAAAATGTTTCCCGCTGGAAAATTTCTGAAAGCTTTTCAATATTCCTTATAAGATTAAATTAAAAAAAAAAAAAGCTTTTATTCCAAGTTCTGACAAAACCAACGACAGTCCTTTACCTTGATATTGAAGAGAGATGTGAAACTGAAGAGATAATGTGATTACCTCCACTTTAGCTCTGCACTGGGACACTAATTACATTTTTTCTTTCTCTGAAAACACATTTTGCTACATGTGTAGAGAGAAAGTGGTTTTGTACTTCTATAAGGATGCCTGCAGCTGCTTCAGCATACATGGACTCATACTCAGTATCTCTGTTGACAGCTGCTGAAGGGCTGCCCTGGCAAAATCATCTCCCTCAACATTAATTTTTGCTGAAAGAATTCCCCATCACATCATTCTCCTCTTTGTTCCTGAGCTTGGTACAGCTCTGTAGACAGAAGCAGAGCTACAAGAGCTTTGCTATCTCTGCTTTTAAGAGATAGTAATAGCCTTTTCTCCGTGATTTATCCAGATTAGATACTTCAAAACTCACAGTGCTTACCACAGTGAAAAGTATACAAGGTGGTCAGAAACACTGCTTAACTCTGGGAGGGAGATGTAAAGAAATTACTGCTATCCATAGTCTGGCTATTGCTTTTGCTAAAATGGCACTCCAAATGTGGACTGGTCTTAGAAATATCATTTTTATGTTAAGCATCAGAAACATCCTTTTATTATCCTTGCCATATATAAACCCACTCTAAAGACAAGCTTGTAGCAGCTTTTTGCAGATTACTTTAAAAGTTTGCGATAATGTATATCTTTGTATTGCCCTTGATTTACTTCTGTTTTTTCCTGATTATTAGAAGAAAACAGACAAGATGGCACAGAAACAGCATCGACTTCTCCATCTTGTTCTTTGGGGGGGGGGGGGTGGAAAACCAAAAGGCGAAGAATAAGCGCAAGGTA